GCAGAGCTGCAGTTCTAGAAAATGCTGAACAACGTTTCTTGATAAAGCATTCGACGGACGAATGAAAGATCGCAAATTCGAGCCCCGACCGGGTTGCTCGCTCTTTCCCGAGTCAAAGAAAAGAATACCACATCGATTTTAAGAAATAGGAGATTACAGGCTAGTACAGGAAAACAGGTTATGGTTATTACCTAGCTGCAAATATCGCCTTAAAGAATAAATATCAACAAGGCGCTCCTGTTGATGAAACAGCTAAATGAAAGAAAACAGCCAAGAATAGTATTTGACACTGCGAGCACAAAGGAAATTTACATTCCAAACAGTTCAAACTTTCAATTTTTCTGGTCCCTTACGATGACCCTTTTACGGCATCTGATGTCTTGATAATGATGTAGATTTATCTTCTACGTATAAAGGCTTGCTCGAACGTGAACTCTTTCAGTCGGCCGAATCGGGAAATACGAAAAGCGTTTATAACAACAGACAAAAGGCAGTAATCTGCCGTGGCATATGATCCCTAACCTCAATCAAGCACATATCTAAGCAGACTTTCGGGGGAGAAGTCATAAAAAAATTGCTGTTAAAACAACAAGAAAATTATTGCACATGTACTCAATAGGATGGACTGTTTCGCCAACCAGAAATATATCATCTGGTCACTGTGTGGATGAAGCCAACCCTTAGGGACAGACCAATGTAGTGTTGTCTGACCCATGTGTTTCTCGGATCACTCTGACGACGCCATGAAAAAAATATGGGATAACTGTACCTAGCTTGAAGGGATTTCAACAGGAAACCACGGGCGTTGGCGTCACTCTTCAATATCGCGACATAATCGAAAAGTAGGTGATAATAACACAAGGCATAATAACATTTTATAAAAGTATTAAATAGCCGAAAATGTAACACACACATAATAATAAAGCCAACCAGATGAAGCATGTTTGATCAAGAACTAAAACACTTATTAAAACAACTACACAGGCCATATAACAATTTCTCTTCTGATAATGGATACAGGCCAAATAACTTGTATCAATTTCATAGATTACCAGCAGTACTGTGGCGAGCATTTTAGGTCGAGTAATCAGCGATTTTTAAACATTTGTCGAGCAATAAACTTTTCAGTAAGCCATTTCTCACCCGAAAAATGCAAAACTCGTGAGAACTTGGTAGACCTATTCAATGAAGCAATAAACAACTTTAAGAAAAGGTTGAATGCTAATGCAGCAAAT